ACATTTACCACCAGTTAGCTTGAGTTATGCCAACATAAACCCAGAACAAAATTTCAGGGACGAGAGCAACTCATCGAAAGAGGGTAGATTGAATGTTGATAGCAGGTCCAGAGGTGAAGCCCACCCCATTCCTCCCAATATACCGGAATGTCATGATTGTGAGCCGTCAGCCTAGCGCCGAATTGCTAGCGAAAAGTTGCTATCAATGGGTACCAGTAAGGTCTTTGATTGGAGATCTAAAGAACAAAGGGCCCCATGAGTTTCTTTCTCCAATTCTGGTCATACCTCTGGTAGTTCCCAGAGATCGAAGATCCTAGGGAGCGGGTAGCTTATTCTCCTATACCAACTACTTTCTCGACCAGAGTTTCAGAGACGGCGCGCACTCCATCAAACTCTTTGTCCTTGTTTGTTCATAGACCTTAACTGTCGTTCAGAATCAAAGATCCCGGGGCAAGAACAGCTCATGAAGGTTGGACGGATCGATTTTTCTTTAAACATCCAGAGCCGGCGCGGGCTCCATCAGTTATCCTTCTGCGGTGTTCAGAATGATAAGAAGGGTTAACACCTCCAAAGCTCTCATATTTATAGTAGCCTACATATTGTTCATATTCATGACGGAATATCAGAGGAAGACCCCGTCCCAATCCATGTTGTGTGAGTATTTGCTGTTTTAGAAGATGCATCATCCTGCATACCAAAGATGCCTGTGCGAACGTAGCTCATACATGATAAGTGGGAAGGTTTCTTATCGAATATTCCGAGGTAGGACGGAAACCAATTTCTTTCGTTCGTTCGTAGCTTCGCGTCGGAGATTTGATTCATATCAGAGATTCTGGAAAGAGAACAAAACATCGAACGGACGAGGTGAAAGCGTTGATCAGCGATCCATAGACGGAGCTCACTCCACTTCCCTCTACACACCTGACTGCCGAGTTCAAGAAGTAAGAACTGAGATAAGACTCCCAGGGCTCGAGCAGCGCATGTGCTGTGAAGACTAAGTTTTTGATAGGAGATTCCAGAAGCAGAACGCACTCCATGGAGTTCGATATTGAATCTTTTCATAGTCTCCCGCGGTCACCTCGACTAAAGGTCCCGGGACGTCGGCCCATTAGGAGATATAAATGGGAAATTTTAAAGCGGAGATCTGGGGCGCTGCGTACTCCTTATTGTAGTCGTCAATGATGTGTTGGTGTTAATGGAATGCCTGCGTCTACCAAAAGTTTCAGGATTAGGGTAGTCCATATGTTAGATTGTAGGGAAAGTCATGACTGATGGCCCAGAAACGGAATGTACACTATAACGCTTTTATTTTTTCTTCTGTATTAAAGATAAAGCGTCATCCCTTAACAAACATTCTGGAGCAAGAGCAGGCCATGACACCTGGTCTAACATCGTTTTCATCGGAGATTAAGACGCAAACTTTTCCACATGAGTAGTACTGATGACTGGATCTGTTGTGTTTGAAATATTAGGGTGTTGACTGAGACCAAAAATCCCGGGCCGAGAGTATCTGTGACGGACCTAGGCCTCGTTCCTAGCTATGAGCTTAGCACGTTCCCAGGTCACGTGCTCGAGTCACGTGCTCGCTAGGAACAATCGTTGTTCCGCCATCGACGCGTCTAGATAGCATCGCGAGCAGCCTCGTACTCCGGCTCCTTGCAGCACGTCTTGTAATACAATCCTACTGCTCGTCTCTACACCTCCGTACTAGCCGCCCGTGACAGTATCTCACAAAACGGGAGCACACGATTCCTTGATCGGAAATTCAGAGGCAGAGACAAACCCATTCGGCTTTTCTCTTATAATTTTCGATAAAGAGGCTGCCAGTCTATACTAGAAAGGTAAGGCGAGACCAAACCCATATTTCTCCAGCACGACGTGGTTTAATCGGAAATCTCGAGGCAGATACACTCCCAAGGTTTCTCCTGCCGTTTGTTAGAGATGAAGCCACATCTGTACCAGGATCCCCAGGGCAAGAACAACTCATGGGGGCTGATGCTGTACGTATTTGATTAGAGATTCGGACCAGGAGCACGCTCCATCAAAAGTTGACTATCCATCTTTTGCGAGATAAAGCCACTACCTCTACCACAAATCTCGGAACGAGAGGAATCCATGACAATCCCCGGTAGACTCTTGTGTACGAATGACACAGAGACAGAGCACACCCATTGAATTGTCCAACATCTCTTTAGAAAAATCGGACGTAGCTGAAGACGCCAACGCGAGGGCAGTTCATGAAGAGACGGTAGCTAATGTTTTGATCAGAGATCCATACTGGTACGACGCACACTCTTATAGTTGAGTCTCCAGCCAAGCAGCGAAGCCCGCCATTGAATTTTCGGTCCCTTGCTTCTCGATGACAGATTCTGGTCTGGGGCCCAGAGGCGGAACACGTCCCATATCGGGCTGATGGGAGCGTGCTATAAGAAGATACGCCCCTATCCAAAAGACCAAGAGCGAGACCACGCCATGCGCACGTGTTAGCTTTATCTTTGGACCGGAGAACCACAGACAGACATGTTCCGCTCATTTTCCTAGTGTGTATACTCGAGCTCGAAGCCCCGGTCGAAGATTCCAGAGCAATGCCAGTCCATTCTGTGGTAACATACTACTAGATGACAGACTTTTATCCAAGAACCCAGAGCGGATCGCATTCCAGAAAGCCCCAACGTCCACGTTTTGCACCTACAGTACTAGGTCACAAGTCTAGGCACACGGAGTTATCATTGCTTGCTTGGCTTCATTCTTGCACACTTGACACCACTGTGAGGAGCAGCCCAGCGAGTGCGTAGCCACTTAGCCAAGAGGGAGACTAATTTACACTGCTTGAAACTTGACATCGCGCCTAGATTTTTGAAATCTACGGGGGTACCCCAAGCATTGGTAAATGGGTGTGCAAAGACTGATGGCCTGTCGCTGTAAGCACCAGGCCGAAGCCCCCAGAGCGAGGAAAGCTTATTTCTTCTGATTGAGGGGTATTTGATAGCAGCCGCAAAGATGAAACGCACTCCATTCTTGTGTCTACGTCTGTAGTTTATTGGGAACTAGCCTTCGGCCGAGAGGCCCAGAGCGACACCAGCCCATATTGACTTTCTCCAGATGGTTGAAAGACGGAGGCGGCGCACACTCCATAATCTGCTCCTAAAACTGCCAAATCGATGGCATGGTCGAGATATCCAGGGCTCAACCGACGCATAAGAAGTGGGTTTCCGCGTCTCTTGAATAAAACGAAGAAACAGAACGCACTCCATGGTGCTGACGAGATTGCGGTTGAAACTGAGCCCTAACCAAGTCGTCTAGAATGAGACTAGACCATGGTTTCGTTCTTCTTTTCATGTTGAAAGAAACAGCTGCGGAGCATACTCTATGCTATTTCGTGAGGTTAGAGATTGAAGTTGAGGCCCAAAGAAGAGTCCAGAACCGGACCGCCCATATGGCTTCTTCCCTAGAAGTTTTGATGAAAGGCGCCGAGGCAGAACGTACTCCATGCACCGCTTAGACGCTTGGTGTTAATTACCCAATCGAGGGCTCCAAAACGAGCTCGGCGCGCATCAGATGTTTGTATGATGACGCGATGAAGGAACTGGAGGCAGAAAACACTCCATCGTCCATTCTCGTTAAAGAAATTGAAGTTGATGCCCCGGTCGAAGAGTGCAGAGTGACACCAGCCCATCGCCTAAGCAATCGACGTTTTTTGATATAAGGTAAAGAGGCAGAACGCACTCCATCGGCTCGAGTTCCTCTACCTGGTGAAATTGAACCATCAATCGAAGATCACCTAGCTCAACCAGCCCATATAAATTTTCTCCTACTTTTGGGGGTGAGTGACACTGCGGCAGAGTGCGTTCAATTCCCGGCCCTTCCCTTCTCATGTATTGGATTTTCTCCACCAGTCGAAGATCCCCGAGCAGGACCAGGCCACATGATTGTAGTGTATCCGTGAATTCGATCAAAGACACAGAGACAGACCGCCTTCTATGCTAGTCTTCAAGGAAATTTGATGATGCAAGCACCACCCCACCACCAAGACTCCAGAGCGAGACCAACTCATCGCTCGAACGACAGATACTTCTTGATCAAACACCCACGCAGAGCCCACCCACCTACTCCACCCCATAGTGATCTTCTGCCACAGATTTGGAACTCAACCCAGCCCAAACCCCGGCACAGCCACCACACCATCTCCCTTCCCCATCGTAAGACTCCACGATAGCTCTTGAACACCCCTTTCAAGTCGCCAAGCCCTCCCTTCCCATCCATAATAGGTTTTCACCATTGTTCTCGATCTCCGTTCCTCCCCTTCCCACTCCTAAACACCCCCTCTGCCGAACTCAAACTTTCGGGGGGCGACCCCATTCCTATATACCTCCCAGCTCCTGCCTCGGCTGAATCGTTTCTCCGACCCCCGCCGATCTCGCTCCGTGTGCCGCCGATGGAGCGGTGAGCGGGTTGGCCTATCGGAGGGGACCGGAGATATTAGGAAAGGGGATCGGGTAGGGAAGGCCTGTGACGATGGCTGGAGGGCTTGCGTGGGCGAATGGGAAAGTGGAAGGAGACTCGCATGTGAAGAAAAAGGAAAGGAACGGGGAGAAAGGGGCACGGGGTGGGAGTCGGGGAGGTTTGAGGTTACACGCCGACGTCTTGAGGAGAGCGGATGGGCGAATCGGATAGAAGAATAGCTTGGCATGTGGAATAGAAGGGGAGTGTGACGAAGCGCGGGACCTAGAATGTAGCGGCGTGAGGGGCTGTTCGCGGTTGCGAGGCCTCCGATTTGCTGAGAACAATGAGGTGGGAATCGGGCATGTGGGAAGGGATGAGAATGAAGAAGCTTTAGTGTTACGCTGATGCTTTAGAGGGCTCCGATTTGCTTAGTGTCAGGTGATGGAACGGAGACACGTGAGATTGAGACGGAGACTGGGAAGTTGATGATGGAAGGCTTGCGAGCTTCTCAGAGAGCGGAATGTAGAGAGGCACGTGAAGAAAAGGGCCCACGGGGACAGGGTCGGGATCTCATGAAGACAGACCGCTTTCCAGATTGCTTCGGATCCGCAGAATGCGGTAATGGAAGAGTGACATGCGAAGGAAAGAAGGTATGAGAAAACGAATGAGAGGTCACGAAGACAGACAGTCTTTTTGAACACTTCCGAATCGCTCAAAGTACGATAATCGAAGATAGACACGTCAAGGAAGGGAACAAAGGACGAAATTAGGGGAGTCACCGAAGACACACCAACGGGTTGGAAGTAATTCTATTTGTAGATTGAAGCAGTATTGTCACCAAACACCAGAACCCTTGAAGCTTTTGCCCTACCTTTGTTATATGACTGCTTCATTTAGTGCTCGCAGCACGTGGTATACGCATCATCGCATCAAACCGTATCGCGTCAGACCGCCCGGCATACTCACCCTTCACGATAACCTCTCACGCGGTCTGTGCCTGAGCTTGGGGTGCGGCGGGGCCTCCGGTATTTCGCTGCTTACTGACAGTATACTCGGCGAGGAAATCAGGATCGTTCTCGAACTCCTCCTTGACCTATCACATCATTCCATTAGCTTCAGCTCAATACGAGCGCCACCGCCATTGACACTAGCTAAAGAGAGGGGATACTCACAATATCCAACCCCCCAACCAACTCTCCACCAACCCAGAGCTGCGGAAATGTCGGCCAATCTGCATACTCTTTCAATCCCTGCCTGACATCATCGTCTGCCAGGATATTAAAGAACCCATACCGCACACCCTTCTCCCTGAGCAGCGAGCTAGTCTGTCGACTAAACCCGCACTGCGGCGCCGACGGCGTCCCCTTCATGAACAGCATCACGGGCGCCGCCTTGACCAGCTCCGCTAGGCGCGCGAACAGCTCCTCCTTTGTCTCCTTTGCGCCAGAGCTGTACTCGGGCGCAGTCTTGGGGTCATTGTTGGAAGGCGCGTATGATGCGAGGTTCTTGGTGCCGTTTGTGCCGTTCGTTGCGCCTGTTTCGAGATGGGTTGTGGGTGCTGCAGGCTTTGTGACTGATTGCGCCGGGGGGAGACCGAGGTTGGAGGCTTCTCCTGCGCTGCCGGCGCCAGCGTACTTCTCGACTGCCGCCCGTACCTTTGCGGCGTCGGAGCCGGAGACGGTCTCGAGAACCGAGCCGTCCTTTTGTAGCACGATGTAGGGGACCGCGGTGACGTCGTATTGCTCCGAGATCTCGGGGAGCTCTTCGGCATTAAGGGAGAGGAAAGCGAGGGGCGCGGAGGAGGGGTATGTGGAGGCGAGGGTGGAGAGGACGGTGGACATCTGCTTGCAGGGCGCAGCCCAGGGCGCGTGGAAGTATATCACCGCGACGGTAGCGGGCGGGAGAGAGGTGATGGTTGATGCGAAGTCGGCCTCGGTGGGGATCTCTCTGAGGGAGGCCATAGCGGCGGCGGTTGTAGGTATCGTCGAGGCTCTTATGATAGTGAGCAGAGTGTTCGAATGGAGACGTGGCTGAAGAGAGAGCAGAAGGTGGGCTATTCGAGGTGATGAAGACGCAAAAGCGATCAGATGGATTGATTAGAAAAAGAACTGACGTGCTCCGTCCCGCCTCCGAGCAATGCCCAGGAGCCAGGTGCCCCGCCTCGGCCGCCATCTGCGGCTTCTCCTCGGCATGCCGTTTCGCCGGCCCGAGAAAAAGAGGAACTCTTGGCATCTTCACTTTCTGCAACCCCGTCGCGAGAGTGCGCCGCATCACCAACATCGCCACCATGTTGCGTACAATGTAAGACCATAGTTCCAGAAAAACAAGCACACAGCTAACGCCCCCTCCAGAAAACCCAAGAGCGCCCGCACGAAGCGCATCCTCGAGAAGCGCGAACCCCAGGTGCACGAGAATGTGAAGCAATGCCTCTTCCTCAAGGGCACCTCTTCGAGCGAAATCCTGAAGCTTGCAGTTACCGGTACATATGCAACACCCCTCGCATCGATATCCTCACTCTAATGTATCTCTAGACCTCAACTCCCTCCTCAAACCCCACACGAAAAAATTCACAAAACCCAACCCAATCCACCCCTTCGAATCCGTTGACTCGCTCAACTTCCTCTCCCTTAAAAACGACTGTTCGCATCTCGTCCTCTCCCACCACAAAAAAAAGCGCCCCCACACCCTCACCTTCATCCGCACCTTCGCCCACACGGTCCTCGACATGCTCGAGCTGCACATCGACCCCGATACCTTCCGCACCATCTCCCAGTTCAAGAACAAGAAGTGCGCGGTCGGCTTGAAGCCAATGCTTGCCTTCTCCGGGACCCCATTCGAGGGGCCGGTGGACAGTCGGTATACGCTCGCGAAGAGCATGCTGCTAGATTTCTTCCGGGGAGTCGAGGCCACAGGTGTGGATGTGGAAGGGTTGCAGTATATGATTCATTTCTCCGCATCGGATGAGATACCTGGAGAGCCTGCGCCTATTATCCGTATGCGCGTGTACCTTGTCAAGACGCGCCGCTCTGGGCAGAAAGTCCCCCGCGTGGAAGTCGAAGAGATGGGTCCTAGGATCGATTTCAGCGTCGGCCGCGAGCAAGTAGCAGAGGAGGCGGTCATGAAGACGGCGCTGAAGAAGCCGAAGGGCTTGGAGCCGAGGACGAAGAAGAACATCACGACGGATGTGGTGGGTGATAAGATGGGGAAGATTCATCTCGGCAAGCAGGATTTCGCAAACTTGCAGACGAGGAAGATGAAGGGGTTGAAGAGGAGTCGGGAGGAGAGGAAAGCTGGAGAGGAGACGGACGCGGAGGAGGACGGAGGCGTCGAGGTCAAGAGGGTGCAGTTGGAGGCATAGGTTGCGGCTGTATACCCAGGGTCTTCTGGTCGGCGTCTAGAGGTAAGGATGGCGTTTAGGTATCAGGAAAACACATTTGCAAGATATGTGGGATATGTAGACTCTTTCGGTCTCTATCATGATTCATCAAATGTTCCGTACCTCACCAACTCTGAACGAAGCATCGCACGGCCTATCAATCACCCTGTGAGCTCCCCTTGTCAATTCCGCACCGCAATCTCCTCGGTCTAGCTCCTGGTCTTCATCTTAAATGTTTGTTCCTATGCTACCTACAAAGGCACTCCAGATCCCAGACGGAAAACAGCGAACGCGTCTCCATCATCAGCTTCGCCTCCACCGTCTTCACTCACCTCGCAAGATCACGTGCTCCCTATTTCGCATCCACGTCGAAGATTTGACAGAACAGACTGTTCTAAGATTTAGGGTAGATGTGGGAAGCCGCTAAACTTCAATTGAACGTTCAGGATTAATGAGATTTGGAGAGCACGTGGCCACGTTAAAACTTCTAGAACTGAGGAATTGCCCATGGATGGAGCTTACTTCCAAACTTTAACATGCATGGAATACCTAGGGGACATATATGCCTCATAAGCCACAGAGTTCTCGAATCCTATGCAAGAACGATGAACGGAAGCACGTGACTGTAATCACCAACCGAGAAGTGAAATAAGAAAGATGTAAGTCCCAACAGACGGGCGTGACACACAAAAGCACCGCCTACCGCAGCAGATTACAAGGGTATATATCCAAACATTTCAGCACTACCTAGGTATCTGAAATTGTCTTTGCGGGATTCGGGGATATCTTCTCCATTAGAATATACAGGTAGAGCGTTGAGCATACTTGTCGATATCTGCCGGTGTCGGTCGGTATGTATACGCAGCTAGTGAGATGGAAGGAAGGATGATCAAGTATGGCTACTTAGTGGGATGCCGCTCAACAGTCCATGTAGTCTGCGGAATACGGCCAGCATACCCTGGAAAGTTGCCTAACGGCATAGGTGTGTCATTGGGTTATCACGAGACGAGGGAGTTCACACCAAGTACAGAGGTGTCTCGTGCTGTCTAATGTGTATACAGAGATGGTATTGCGATTGCACTACAAAGGTATGTACCTGCATGGGATGAGGTTGAAAGCGGCTGGCAGCCGGCGATCCCAGCGTTGGTGTGGGGAAAGCTCCCGTGCGTCACTACCTTTGTACCTACAATAGTGTTGATAGCTAGCTCCAGCACGCCTCACTGTCCATCCCTTCATCTACCACTGCTGTCTGGAAGCTCCAGCAGTCACTTCCCTCCAGCTTTCTGCCCGACATGGCGTCTGAGAAGCAGCCGTTGTTGCTGCCCTCATACCCGGAGCCAACAACCGGAGCTCCAGCTCATCCCTCATCTCTACACAAGCATCGGTCTGCAGCACGACGATTCATGGGAGCTGCTGCTGTCACACTCACGGTGCTAGGGCTCCTGCATGGTGTGTATGAATTCATTTCGATGGCGAATCAAGCTGGCTAATATGAAACAGGCGTTCCCTACGCCAGCGAGCCCTCATCAACTGCACCATGCCTGTCCGCCAGCTGTGTCCACGCAGCCTCCGAGATCCTGTACAACCTCCATCCCGACTACAAAAGCCTTGACCCCTGCGAGGACACCTACGAGTACATATGTGGAGGATGGGGTGACCGCCACGATCTCCGTCCCGACCAGGGCGACGCGTCTTCTCTCAGTGTCCTCTCCGAGGAAGGACAGTTGCTTTCTAGGCATATTCTTGATTCGCCTTATCCTGGAGATGATCCACTCAAAGTATTCGTCAACTCCTATTCTGCAAATGGGGTAGACAAGGAGAACTTCGAACAGCTGAAGGCCGCCTATGACGCATGCATGGATGAAGACACCATCAAGAAGGCCGGTGTCGGTTCTTTGAAGTCACTGCTAGACGACATATCTGGGAAGAATATCACTGAGACGGTCTTGTCGCTACTGGGAAATGGCGTTGGGGCATTGGCCTCTTTCTACACCTCTGTGAGTGCAACTCGTTTCCCCATACCTAGTCAGTGAGACTGCCATCTAACATCTCATCAGGGCGATGATCGAGATCCTGACTCGGTTGCTATTTTCGTTACGCCCCCTAGGTCCATCGGCCTCCCCTCGAAAGAATACTACGATGATGAAGCGGTTGTTAAGGAGTACAAGGAAGTGCTTTCCAAAGTCACGGCTGCGCTCATATCCGCCGACGTTCTGTCGACGGAACAGTCAGCGTTGTTTTCTACCACACCCAATACCGATGGCATCGTGGACTTTGAAAAGGAACTGGCCAAAGCCTCCCCACCCCCTGAAGACCTGGAGAGTGTCGTCAAGTACTACAACCCTCGGACTCTGGAGGAAGCCCACGAACTGCTCCCGCAACTGTCAGTCAGCCGTATCATATCCGCTCTTGGTCCATCGGACTTCACCGCCAAACGCATCATCGTCGGGTCGCCTGAGTACATGAAGTCTCTATCAGAGATTTTGGATAAAATCCCAGAGGGCACACTACATGGCTACTTTATGTGGAAAGCCGTTCAGGCGTATGCCTCATCGGTCGAGGACGATGCCTTGAAGCCTCTGAAGCAATTCAAGAACAAGCTTCAAGGCAAAGACCTCGACGCCGTGCCGGACCGCTGGCGAACCTGCATTGCAGTGGTGGACGACACCCTAGGGTGGACACTCAGCCGCTTCTTCGTCCAGCGGGCATTCTCCAAGGCCGCGAAAGAGTTCGGCGACCGCATCATCTACGACATTAAAGACCAATTCAAGACCATACTTGGTCAGACCGAGTGGATGAGCAAAGACGTACAGAAGCTGGGCCAGAAGAAGGTCGACAACATCGTGCAGAAGATCGGCTATCCAACGGCGAGCCCCGATATCATGGACCCTGAGAAGCTGAAACAATATTACTCTGGGCTGACTATCACAAACTCAAGCTTCTTCGAGAACAACCGCAACGCCGCCAAGTTCGAGATCAAGCGCGAGTGGTCGAAACTCGGGAAACCGACAGACCGCGACGAGTGGGGCATGACCGCTTCAACTGTCAACGCGTACTACAATCCCGCTGGCAACGAGATTGTATTCCCGGCTGGTATAATGCAAGCTCCGCTGTTCTACGACCCGGAGGTGCCGCAGTATTTGTCGTATGGCGCGTTTGGAGCTGTTAGCGGGCACGAGCTGTCACATGGTAGGCCCCCTTAGCCATTATTTCCAAGTTTACATAAACAGTACTTGATTGAGGAACTAACAAATCCACAGCCTTCGACAGCAGCGGCCGCCACTACGACGAAATCGGTAACTATTCGGACTGGTGGGACACCAAAACCGTCAAAGCCTTCGAAGAGCGCGCGCAGTGCTTCGTAGATCAATACGCGAACTTCACCGTTGCGGGACCAGATGGAAAACCACTACATGTCAACGGCCGCCTGACATTGGGCGAGAACATCGCGGATGCGGGCGGGCTGAATGCGGCGTACGCGGCGTGGAAGAAGCGCGACAAAGTCAACCCAGACAAAACTCTTCCGGGCCTACTAGATTTTACCAAAGAGCAGGTTCGTCCCCAGAGTTCCATTCGTATAGCTTTACGTGTAATGTGAAAGGAAGGCTAATCAAGGTGATGCTAGCTCTTCATGCTCAACTACGGCAACACGTGGTGCGGGCTCACGAGGACGGGGACAGCGATTCAGAGGATCTATCAGGACCCGCATTCGCCCAAGTTTGCGAGAGTCGCGGTACGTACAAAATATACTTCCCCATTCTCTGCCTGGATTTGTGACTAATTGCCAAGTAGGGTACTCTTGCAAACACACGCGCGTTTAGAGAGGCGTTCAATTGCCCCGTCAAGGAACCGACGTGTAAGCTTTGGTAATGGTGAGAGGAGGCGCTGCGGAAGGTTAGCAGATGAGTTAGACGTGTATTATTAGCAGCAAGCTTAGTTTGTAGCAGAGCGTGTTGAGTTTTACAGAAAAAAGTATTGATTCGATGAGCGAAGTGGAGAAAGTGGGAAGCTTTCTCACTGTAGATGCTTGAGGAATTGGGACGCACAGGTCCGCGTAAAATCTGTTATGGAATTTTTTCGTATATAAGAGACGAGGAGGGATGTAGGCGTAGCATTTTTCAAACCATCGAACTACAGGGCGGGCGCGGGGTGTTGTATTCACGCCGTCGTCGTAGATGAGATCCCGGGATCCTCCTCCTCTTCGAACTTCACCGCTTTTGCTCGCTCGATGCCACTGTCTGGAGTACCCCAACTATCGCTATCAGGTAGGTAGGCTGGTTAAGAAAGTTAGTCTGATATCCACAGCACGAACGAAAGGATTGCACAATACGGATATACCACGACTCGAGCCCCCACTCTTGCTCGCTCGACACGGCTGTCTGGAGTGGAGTGGCCCAGGTACGGTGGAGCTATCCGGATAAAAGGCAACCTGATCTCGACTGCGTGAGCGTGAGGATAGGTACGCGGTGATAGCACTGCGGGTGGACGCTTCCCCTTTTGCGCGCTCGATGCCACTGTCAGAGGTGGCCCAGCTGGCTTAGAGCTAGGGAGCTAAACGGGAACCTAGGCTCTACTGCATGAACAAAAGGATGGGCACCCAGGAATCTCACTGCGGGGGTGGGAGGGGATACGAAACGGGCAGCACGTGACCCAATGTGACATTTCAAGCATGACTCAGTTCGGTCTCTCACCTACTCTATCCCCCCAAATCGCACTCCTACAAGCCCGTCCCTCCTTACCGCACGCGTAAAGCATCTCAAAAAGCCGCCCGTTTGCATGCAGAAGAGGAATTGCTTTTTAGTCACATGACGCACTAAGTTCTCCACACACCTCCGTCCCTTGCCAGCTACTCTAGAAACTGAACTGCTCTACTACTCATCCAGCTGTACATAGTTGGCCGGGAAGAGACCCGACTTCCCGCCGTAATGGCCGAGCCACCAGTCTTCGTCTGGGAACTCCTATAGCGAGTAATTAGCATTCGCTCGCAGGGAACAGAAGGAACAGGACTGCAACTTACCACACCCGTAATCGTCGCTCCATCGGGAAAGCTTAGCTCATTATCCTCCGCAGCCTCATAATCATACAGCGCCGTCGCCGTGGGCCCCGCACCATGGCCAGCCGGCGGGGCTGGCGCATGTTCCTCTTCCTCCTCTTGCACCGCTCTTGCAGGCTGCGGCGGTGCTTGCGCCTCCTCTTCCACCCCATCATCCCCAACCAGCTCAACATAGTTGCTAGGAAACAGCCCCGTCTCGCCCGCCCTATTCTGTCCCATCCACCAATCCTCATCCACAAACTCAATGTTGGTGACGTACTCGCCCTCGCGCAGCTCGAGCTCGTTGTCCTCCGCCTTCTCGTAGTCGTACTGGACGAGAGCGCGCTTGCCGCCGTGGGACTCGCTGTGCGCGGCCACGGCGGCGGCGACACCAACGCCCGCACCAATGCCAGCGGCGGCGGCGACCGCAATGCCGGCGGCGCGGGCGGGGTCGTGCGACTCGACTTTGGGTTCGGCGGGGCTGTCGCGGGAGGCCGAGGCGGCTTTTTGGAGCGAGTGGGTGGGCATTGGGGGAGGCGAGAAGCGCTCTTCTGGTGCGGACAGGGGTTCAGGGGAGGCACCGCGCGCGACGGGCATGGCGATGCGGATGGGGGAGCCTTCTGGCTCCTCGAATTCAGGGGACGGGGTGCGGATGTGACGGGGGGGAGATGGGATGGCTTGGTGTTGTTCCGCTGGGATCTCCTGGTGGGAAGGACGGGAGGGCAGGCCTGGGATTGGGATGCCGCGGCCAGCGTTGGGTTTGCTGGAGAAGTCCATTGGTGGTGGCATTGCGTGTGCTTCTGGTTCTGGTTCTGGAGCCGCTCGTGTAGTGGGAGCGCCCATTGGAGCCGCTCCCTTGAAGCGGTCACGGATGGAACTGACCCCTCCGGCGGGAGACGATGGCTCCTCTGGTGTGTGCTCTTGTCCGGTGTTGCTGGCTGAGACGACTCCAGTGTTTTGCTGACTGAGAGAATTGCTCCCCGCGGATTGACCAGTGCGGGTGGTTTGAACGGGCGCCCACGATTTCCCAGAATAACCGCTGTGCCACCCACCACCACCGCTCTTTTGCCCAGATAATTGGCCAGCCAATGGTGATGCAGGTCCTCCAATACCTGGAGAGGGCGCAGAGGGAGCTCCACCTTGGCGAGCCTTCTTTTCAGCCCACAGTTGAGCCGGAGTCTTTCCGCCCTCGTCAGCGAAAGTACGGCTGGCAGTTCCTACAGGGGCAGCAGGTGCTGGTTTCGCTCCAAACGGTGTCGGAGCGGAAGCTTTGGTGCCTGTGAAGGTACTCGATCCACCAAATTTGTTTGCGACTTTAGGCTTTGGCAGCGAGGTCAACCTCTCGGATTGTTTGAAAGCAGCGGACCGGTCTGCCAGCGACTTGGGCGCATCGCTTTCCTCACTTCGACCAGAGGCTCCAGTAATAGCAGGGGAGAGATTCGAAGGGGATGACGCTGCGTCCGATGGCGCTTGGGCCCTAGCGCGGATGGCTGCAATATCAACTTTCCCGACCGGCTCATAAGCTCCCTTCACTGGCGCAGGCCTGAGATCTTCTTTCTCTTTTGCCTGACGACGCAGGGCAGCAATATCGACCTTTCCAACTGGCTGATAGCCTCCTCTTACAACATCACTCTCATCATGGCTGGGCTGGGGGGCGCTAAACCTCGATGGTGCCTGTTTCTGGGATGTGAGGTCGGATATGTTGGCTTTGGTGGGTTTGTATGCCGATTCCACCTTTTCCAACTGCGACCTCGTAACCGGAGGCGCATCCGAGCCCCAGCCGTCTGCATCCACGTTGGTGTCCTTTGGTGCAGCTCGCGCGCCTAGTGGATTGAAACCACGTCCGCCAGCTCCACTCTGCGAGGGTGTGAATACTGGCTTCGAGGAAACGGGTGGCGGTGGACCTCCGGAGCTGATGGCCGGCCCTCCAGCATATTTGGAGCCCGAGGCATCCGAGACCTTTTGCACGATTCCTTCGGGGGTGAGGTCGCTGTCTGATCGGGCAGTAACTTGAACGTGATATCCCTTGACGATCTCAGAATTGTGGTCTTTAGATAAAATTGCTTCGGTCTTACATGTAAAAGCTTGGAGACAACGCCTAGGTGGCTGCCGAAGTAGCCCTTGGTGCGTTCAGGCACACCTGCGCCGCACTGGGATTCGGATTACAATTAGCCGTGTTCCAGGACAAGAGGAGCAAGGATGCGTACCCAGGCAATCAGGACAGACTTGGGAAGGGATGTGTTTGGGTCCTTGACTTTGACGAAGGCAAACTGGATTCGGCCGTCGTTGAAATCCTCGATTAGATCAGAAAGCTCGCCCTCTGTAAGTGGATCAGCATTTTGCAGTGCCGCTCCTGGTTTGTATGGCTAACCTGCGACGGATTCTACCTTCAGCACACTCTCCTTTCCACCATCGTTCTGGAAAGCGCTGACTAGCGGGGCAGTGACGGTAAACAGAGCCCATTGACCGTACGTAGGAGAGCTGGCGGAAGCTCCGGACGGCTTCGGAGCGTCGACAATGGACTGGTAGCTGCGCTTGATGTTGATGCCATTGGTGGAGGTGTTGAGGGAGGCCATGGTGGAGAGGCGTAAGCCGGCCGAGGGGTTGCAAGCTGGCTGGAAAGGGGGCCTGGGGGAAGTGGAGGAGTGGAGAGAGCGACGAGGAGTGTATACAGCGTGGTGAGCGTCGACAAGGAGAGTGGCCGCAGACGGCGCGTGGGGAGTCCGGGGCTGTGTTGGACTCGACAGCGCGCAACGATGCCTGTGTGCTGTGGGCGATGACGAAGGCGAGGGCAGCCCAAACATGGAGTCTGCCCAGAAGCAGCGTGGCAGCGTGGAGCGCGGCAGTGTGGCAGTGTGGCAGTGTGGCAGTCACGTGGCAGTGTGGCAGCTCGCACGACGTGCTTTGTATCATTGCAGCCAACACGCCCAATTTTCAACATGGCATCCTCAAAAGTCCAAGGGGCAAGCTTGAGCTCGATGCAGATGCCGCGGCAGGAGCACAGCCCTAAACAGCCATCAGCATGGTGACTACAGCCGCAGTGTTGTGTGCTGGTGGCGGCTGCCACTTCGTCCAGGGCACGCGGGACGGGCACACGACGGGCACACGACGGGCAGCGAAAACATGCCAGCTCGCCTCACCTTTCCGGGCGCTGTGATTCGTCCAGCGCGACATGAAAGTGAAGCTCCACGCTCTCCTCGCCTGCCCTTATACTCGTCCCGCCCCATACACTGCCAGCCCATCTTGCCTCTCCCTCTCTGCCTACCTCCTCTGCACTGCCTGAGACCCGTCCGAGAAGCACATCGAGCTGCCCGCTGCCCACTGCAACCGTCTACCGTCTGCCGTCTGCCCTCGAACAGCCACACTTGCTCCACCACCAACACCCTCATGGCGGCAGCCGATCGAGCCACTGTCGCATGAGAGGCACTGCGGGGACTGGGAGGCGCAATGGAGGAGGAAGAGCGCGAGCCCAGTGTCGCATCCTCGTCAGACCTCTACTCGGAGTCTGATACGCCCGCGGCTGTACAACACCATGGCCCGACACCAACCAAGCGCAAGGCAGAGCATTCAGACTCTGGCCCAGACAAAAAGCGCAAACTTGATCCCGTCTCAAGCTCTCCTTCCTCCTCACGTCTTCTCCCCTGCGTTGGCCTTCCGCCAGAGATCTGGCAGAATGTTTTCCTTTCCTGTTCGCCTGCAACCCTCGGAAGACTGTTGCAGGTAAATCGATCTTTTCGTTCCTATCTCCTCGACGTTCAGTCTCCCTCCAGCGGGGCTGGCCGTCTAAGTCTTGTCAGATCCGACTCTATTTGGATCGCTGCAAGAAAAGCCCATCCAACTAGACCCTCCAAGCCTCCTGAAGGCTTCTCTGAAGTCGACTTATGGAGCCTGATAATGGGCAAATCGTGTCAGTTCTGCCAAAGCACTCCGTCTTCCATGCCAGGAGAGAAAGCATGGGAGAAAGGACCTGGTCCGAATGGCGTGCGCATCATATGGCCCTTCTGGGTTCGTGCGTGTGGCAGCTGTTTGAATGAGAGATGCGAAAAGGTAAGTTTTACAATTAGTGGCGTGCCGCCATTTGCTAACAACGCGTAGGATACTACACTGCTCTTTTCTGCGGCGTCCGCCCTGCGTCCCGCACTTCCCTTCGCCTTCATAACCTCCGATCTCAATGTCATCGCGGCTTCATCCTTACAGGATCCCGCGCTGCCTCCAAGCCTCCAAATATCGAAAGTCTACTACAAACCTCAAATACAAGAAATGGAGGCGGAACTCGTTGAAGCTCAAAGCCGTGGCTCAGCTGCCGCCGAAGAGTGGCTCAAAGGTCTAGAAAGTCGGGGACGGGCTCGTATGAGCAACTCCGCTGGCTGGGAAAAATGGGAGATCAAATACCAGTGGTGGCTGAAACACCAAGACACTCGAAGAACCCCAATGTCTACATCTACATCACCAGGCCCAAGTCTCCCACAGAAGACGGCCTCGCCATTTCGTGCGGCTGTTTCTTCTAGACCTAGTAATGGAACACCTGTGGCCAGTAAGTGGATTTCATCAGTTCTGTTCAACAGTCCTCCGCGATGACCCTAGTATTCGTCATCTCGCCCTATGGAATCCTAATCAAAACCTAGCAACATCCACACAGCTGCTACCTCCACGTCCAGCCGTTTCAGCACAGCCTATGCATGCTCCGCAGCACATCTCGCAGCCGCCATTGCATCATCCTCGCCCAGAACGAAACATTCACGATGCCAACGAAGCAAAGGCAGCCCGAAAAGCCGACATCGAACGTCGATGCGAAGCTTTGTCTCCACCCATTCCAGCCAATGTACTCCGCCACATGGAATCGTTCAAGGCAGCAATACAAATATCACAGCCAATGACGGACAACTCATGGGAAGTCCTGAAGCCCCGCCTACTTGCTCAGAGAGCGGACGCGGAAAAAGCTGAAGGCGAACAGGCAGCACGGATGGCATATCTACAAACGCGTGTTGCTGACCGGCGCCAACAGGACGCCAGCAACAAAGAAGTCAAAGAAGTGCTTGACCGAGAATGGGAAGACTCCCAGAAGCCCGTTCGCGATCGTCTTTCTTCATACGCAGATGAATTCATCCGGTTCAAGTGGGCCGGTGACAAATCAATTAACTATGACAGCAGTCCCAAGTTTGCCGCGGAACTTCTTCTTCATGTCCGTCAGAAGTTCTATTCTGATGTTTCCGGAGAGGATAGGACTGCCGATGATGCCCCAGGCATGGATTTGGACCAGCCAGACCAACTTCCACGGAGGGCCCTAATCTTGGAGAACATGAAATGGACATACGACAACAAGATTAAGCCTCTAACCGAACAGTATCGAAAAGAGCTTTTCCTTTGCAACGGCTGTGACGGAAACTTCCGCTACTACGGCTTTGAAGGCGTGATTCAGCACTACGGAGCCAAGCACACCAGTGCATTCAGCGTAGGGAATGTTGTTGTCTCCTGGAGGGAAGCCGAGTGGCCAGAGGAACCTCCATTCCATCCGGATCCAAGTGCAGCCAAGAGTTACGGTCATTCTGTGCCAACTTCTATGCCTGCCCATGGTCATTCTGCCTATGCGCCTTACTACGGTGGGTATTCCCGCGGAGGTACGACTACTCCCCAGATGTCTATCCATCTCCAAAGCCCCAGTCCGTACATGCCGTACGGAGCGCAGTTCAACGGCCCGTTTCCACCCCCTCCGCCTCCTTCCAATCCGGTTCACGGAGCGAATTACAACTATTCGCAAGGGTATGCGCAGCCACAGCCCATGGATCCATACAACGGGTATCAACTAGGATACCTTGGATACTCGACATCGCCACTCATGAATGCTTCCGTCCCGGTTGGAAATGGATCCAATGGCTTTGGTTTCCAGACTTCTCCACAACACGTGCCAGTTGCCCCTGCCCCCATGCCTCAGGAACCCGACAAAGATGAGCCCTTCCGCACTACCCTCTTCGATGAACAGGTGAGAAGCCTCGTGGAAATGGCTCGGGACATTTGGAACAGTACCTCTGGGATCAAGGATTTGCCAAACAGTGTTCGAGTCTATGTGTTGTTGCAGCGTGTTATTTCCAAGTTCCAGCTTCAATTCGATCACGAACCAACATTGGATCATTTCTCCGACGCTGTTCAAAATCATTCCCTATCAGGACTGAAGTCTGCCGCCGGACTTGCTTGTAAGGCGTGTCAATCTGAACCCATCAATCAATTTTCCATGTCCAATGTATCTCGACCCGAAGACAGAAAAACATATCATGTACTTTCCCTATTCTCTCATTTCAAGTCAGTTCATTTGGAGCGATTTGGACCCCGGCCAACCTTCCAAAACGGCCAGCAACTCCGGCTTCTAGATTGGAAAGAGGACATGATCGAGCTTCCCAGTGATCGATCAATATCTGGCCTTATCCATGCTCCCGGAATGGATGATGATAAGCTGCATATCATTGCAACAGTGTTTCCTACGCTGTTTCCAACTCCTCTACCGAGGATCGGAGTAGTGGATCAGTCTGGCGTAGCATCGGCATCACTTAACAGACCCAAGAGTGCAAAGCTGGACACGGATATGCCTGACGCTTTGGATGAAGGCCTGGGAACTACTCCACGTAAGTCTCTACATGGTCGGGCCAATCTACCTCGCCGCCCGGGTGAGGAGGAATATGATCCACTTCGACCAGCCCTGGTCAGAGACTCCAGACATGCCGTCGGAGCGTCTCACAGGAGGCCATCTCATTCCTGGAGCCCGCCATCAGATGATCGTAGGCAGGTCTACTATGCCGAGCCGAGATATATCGTAGGTGGACCGCAGTACTACCCGGTAAATGGTTTCGACACTGACGCACTTTTTTTGAAGCGACCACGGGATCCCATGGACGATGAATACGCCGGACCTCCACCTCGCCAATACATTGAAGTTAGCCCTAATGGAACACGTTACCTCCGCGATGCTAGTCCAATGTATGAGGAAATACGGGAGAGACGGCCGGTCTATCGCGATCGTGAAGTGTATCCAAGTCTTCCACCAGGAGAGTCCAGGGGCTATTACAGAGGACCAAGCCAACTTGGTGCCACGGAAGGCCCTCCAGGAATGGATCGATATCGCTATGGTCCCGAGAGTGCTAGGGCTCGTTCACGAAGCGAGTCGCCCGCCAGAGCAGAAACTGACGCAGAGCGCTTCCTCAACGAATTTGTGCCACCACCTCCGCTGCCACAACACATCCGCAAGGATGAGGGGGACCTCCGCCAGCCATGGCCTCCAAAGGACAACGACGACGGCTCCAAATACACGCCACCCCCTCCAATCCTTGTAGCGCCCGCAGATGATCGTCCAGACCCCAACACGCCCTCAGGTCCTCAGCCCATTCCGATAAATGGCTCCCTCCACTATGAGGATTCCCGTCATGGCAGGCATACACCGGATTCAGGACATACTCCAAGGAGACCAGGGCCGGGACCCTACCGCCGCAGAGAAGTGCCCGTGCCTTCACGGTACGCGAGATACATGAGTGCGGCTGACCGCGACACATACGCCCGCGGCCACAGCATTCAGCGTTCGCACAGCCGATACGAAAGGAGGTATGAGAGGTATGACCAGCAGCGGAGACGGTTAGATCAAGAAGGAGAAACCCCAGGACCACCCACGGCCGCAGAACGAGACAGGGATAGGAGTCTCGACCGCTATACGGATGAGAGGGATCACGACCCGTATTACCACCCACTGCGCCAGGGCTCCAGGGAATACGTCCCGATTGACGACCATCGCGGTGCTGGGCCCCCACCCGCGCGTTACTTCTCCCGTTTCGCAGCCGAGACGGCAGATGCGCAGCCGCCGCAGTTTGTGGATGAGTTCGGCGAACCGGTGCAGTACGTCCGCGTCCGGAGTGAGGCCTATCAGCCGCGCTATGCGGATGATAGGGAGAGGGTTGAATACGTCCCTGTTGGGTATGACCAGCGTGAGAGGGAAAGAGATAGAGAATACGTTTACTATGATGAGCGGGCGCCGGTGCCGCTGAGGGGCGGCGAGGTGGGGGTGGAGAGGGTGCCTGTGCCTGTGCCTGCGCCTGTGCCAGTGCCTGTGCCTGTGGCATTTGAGGGGGAAGTGGGAGAGGAAAGGTGAGGGAGGGGTTTACTTATGGCGTCTGAAAATAATCGGTTTGCGTGGGTGGAAAAGTGTGCTTCTTTTAGCGAGTCTGCCAAAGGGTGGTTAATGGAAAAAACCTGTGTATGAATACGTACTGCGGGATGTTGCGTGGAAATTTTGTTGTTCATGTGGGTAGGTCTCTGATGTTTAAACGATAGTCTAATAATGTGACACTTGATTTACAGAAAATTACCTTTGGCGGTGATGTCATCGCTATGACTGCCCAAAGACGTTGCAGAGACCCCGCCGCTGCAACGTCACATTGATTTAAAATAACGATTCAACTTCACACATCAGTGCTTGTTGGCTTCAATGGCAGCTAGGCCTAACACGGTATGCAGATTGTTGCATATGCAGGCGCTGGTTGGCTGGCCTCAACGTCGCCCCATCACCGTTCCGAGATGGGTATACAATCAGTTTCTTGGCTTCTCACTCTACACGTCTGCTTCATCCTTTGCCTAGCTATTGAAATATATGAGCTCCAGCTTTCCCTCTTCGCTCAGCTTCCCAAGAGTTCTTTTCAAATCCGATCTTCCATCTTCACATCCCTCTCACGCCTCTACCACTTCCATTCCCATTTCTAAGTTTAGTTTCTAAAGAGAAGATTCCATTCACACCCTCCCACGTCCTCCTCATCGGCGCCGCCGTTGCCGAGCACCTCATCCGTTCCGGCTCCAAAGTCGTCGCCGTCGGCCGCCGCTAGGACCGCCTCGACGCCTTTGTGCAGAAACATGGTGCCGAGAAAGCGAGCACTGTGAAGTTCGACATCGGCGACGCGGGGGGGATGGATAGGTTCGTCTCGACGTAAGAAGACCCCGTGATGAAGGGAAGTGGGGGGGGGGGGGGGGGGGGGGGGGGGAGGGGGGGGGAGGGGGGGGGGGGGGGGGGGGGGGGGGGGGGGGGGGGGGGGGGGGGGGGCGCTGAAGCTAATAGTTCACAGGATCATAAAGCAGTACCCCGACATCGACTGCATCTGCATCTTGCTACCCCGTTTGCGGAAGCATTCGATGGCAAGCGGCGTAGGCTATGCAGTCATCCCGGGAGCGATTTCCCTATCGCCTGTTCAGCAAGCAGTCTCGGCTGTATCGGGTGGCGTGAAAGTTAAGAGAGCGACGGAGAAGTACACAGAGTATGAGGTGCCATCCATCTGCATCAATATACGAGACGAATTTATCAAAGTAAGTCGGCTGTGGTTTTCATGAATACGTGCTAATACAACGGTAGAAACAAACTGACGACCCCTCCCTCGCTCAGTTCCTCGACCGTCAGCCTGTTTCTCAATTACGATCCGTCAACGTAGGAGTCTTTCGCGAAACAGACAACGCGGACCCTAAAAAGGTCTATGGTGCGGGCAAGGAAGAAATTTATGTTACCATAGCTCTAACAGGCCTTGACTCCGGAAATGGCTGGTACATCTTGATCGAAAAATCTTACGATCGATCGCCATCGCAAACATCTTGGAATGACGCTTCGATGAAATTGAAGGCTGGCGACGCAGTGGTATGGCGGGGAGACTTGTTATATCGACATCCTCCTGGTGGAGGAGGAACATTTATGACGTTGGTTTATGCATAAGGCTGCAGGGGAGTTCTCCGCCCAGGAGGAAGGCTTTGAATAGCAGTGTGCACCAGTTGCTCGAAGTGATCAGCTTCCATCTCGTCCCATCCGTCCATGTCTCTGCAACGCTCAGCTAGGGCTTCTTGTCAAATGAGTCGAGGGCTATGTTAATCCGCGTAATTCAATAGCTGCCCGTCGCGTTTCCCGTGTAAACAAAGATTCTTCTCCTCGTTGTTTAACCGGACTTGCTCTCTTTTTTTTTCGGTTTGGTGATATAATGCCTAGGGCAGCCCGTGGCTTCACGACCTCCGCCCGCTCAAAGTCGATTACCATAACTTTGCCAACCTCCGTATTCCACAGTATGTTGCGAGGCATGAGATCGTGATGAAGGACCCCTAAATTGTGAATGGCCTGAGCTGAACACTCCAACTGTTGAGTGATGAATAGTCTGTTATCGGCAGTAATGTGTCGAGAGATGAGCTCTCCTCCAAAACTAAGGAACATCATATGAACAAGCTCCGTAATACCCTCGTAGAAATAGGGATAGACGAGGTCGATGTTACCCAAATGTACTGGCACATAGACGCCCTGGAGTGGACGAAGGTGTTCATAGATGGTAGCCTCCCTACGTAGGCGATGAATGAAGTCAATCGGGGTGCATTTGGCGGCGGCAGTATATCCGTACGAGTTTAGTCTAACTTGGAACAAAACACCGCATGCTCCAGGAATGCCTACAGGCTTGCAGTCGGTATCCAGGTCTTCTGAGAGTTGTTGGCGAACTAGAACAAGGAATTGGCGTCGGTCGATCCGATGATAGTTCTCCCCATGATCTCGTACGTTTGGGCACAACACGTCAAGTGGACCGCCCTCGACTAAACCACGTAGGCAGTTTTGGGTGCAATATTGCCCACTCCCGTTCTGCGCTCCGCGGCGGGAATCACGACTAGATGACGAGTTGCTGGCAGTGGCCTGGCTACGGGTTGAACGCCGGGGTAAGGGCCGCTTTTGACTCGGAGTGTCCGGATCAGGTTCCTGGTCGCTAGCTTCATATTGATCCTGCGCTGGCTCGCAATTCAGGGAGCTGGTTTGAGTTGGTCTCCGTCGGAGCTGGACAGGCGACATGCGAAGGAATTGGTTGTGCTGAGGTGGCCGGTACTCTGATGATGGTGCGTCTTGGGTAGGGATTGTCTCAAGTAGATCGTCATACACAACCTCCCAGCTGTTTAGCATAACAGCCGCCTCAGCTCGCCACTTATGACTCCGAGGTGGTGTCTTTAACGCCTGAAGCGTAAACGCCAGCATCTGTCCGACAGCGGTTAGATGCAGCCGATTTGCCCCTTCAGAATCTAGAGCCCATCCCGTAGTTTCCCCAACGTCGCCTTTAGGGACGGATAGGAAATAGTAGGCCGTCCTAGGATCATCAGGCACCCGTAGGAAGATGAACGCCTCGCCGGTACTCACGCACCCATACTCCAAGCCAGCCTGGACCATGTAAGAAAATGCTTGAGTAATGACTGCAGCAATCAGGCGCCGGAAGCGCTCTTGAGCAGTATCGGCCTCAGCGCAGCGGAGCACCTCCTCAAGATCCATTTCATGCAAGCCTTCGTAGATGTATCCAAGCGAGAGCTTGTGTGGTGCCTTATATTCGATGATGAAAGCAGCAATGCGATGTTCCGAGTTTGGAGTCGTGCTAGATGTGTTGTACACGCAAAATTGGTCTGCACGAGGCCGGGATGATCTTGCGACTTCTGTGGCTACCAGATCTGCTGAGTCTACCGGCATTGTCTGGGCTTGTAGGCGTGGTGACCGGCGTCGCGGAGCCCCTGATACGCTTATCCGTTGTATGCCCGCTTCCAGCTGTGATTCTGGGCTAAGGGTGTTGGCGTGATTCTCAAACTTGATTGCACCCCGCAGTTGAAATTTCCGTCGAAGTGCGCTGTTATTGTAAAGCTGCGAGATGATTGACGATATGTGGTCCTCGAGGGTGGAGCGCTGGAAGAGATGCAAATCCAGTTCAGAGCTCATCATCCTTTGCCGGATACCCTCTCCAGACTCCTCCAAGGTATGTAGTGAGGTGAAGTGCCGTTCCAAGACGAATTCTGAGCCCATAACCTCGTCCCAAATCGCTTCCTGTTGTGCGGGAAAGTCTTCCCACTCGAGAATTCTTTCAGGCCGAAGTTTATTATTCGCGTTTGCAGGGTCGCCTCGCGTTGATAGGGTTGCATCGGTTTGTACAGTGAGGCCGGAGTATAGGTGAGTATGACATGCGTCGAGGAGCTCTAGTAATGTTGTCTTGCGCGTTTTTTCTTCGATCCTTTCCTGCGCCCGCTCTGCATCTTCGCGTCTGCGCTGTTCTTCCTCCTGAGCAAGCTCTGCAGCCTTCCGTCTGTGCTGCTCTTCGAAAAACAGCCTTTTGTAATCGGGCGACGGTTCAGCCATGTTGTGGCGATAATAGGACTAGCGGGATGTATTCGGTGGGGTTTGTTTACGGCGGTTGTCTGGCGTGTTTCGCGGAAATAGGTGGCAGGTTGTATTGATGCGGGCTGCGTGATTTCGGATCAGATACCGTTCCCAGTCGGCCGATTGCACAAGGGCAAGCTGCTCGCGAGACAGATAGAGTTTGCGTTTCAAGGTTGTTATGGGAGAAGGGGAAAGTCATCAATCGAGACTTAGCCCCATCGCGTGTTTCGGTCCCGCCAATCTTGGCACTGCGCCTCATAGCGATGTGGCGAAGCGAGCCACCGTCGGCAAGCAAGGCCTTATTCACCTGGGCTGGCAGCGGTCACGAAGGCGTGAAAGAAAACTCGCTCGAGGCTTAGTCATAGATACCAACTGCTGCGCCTCAGAATAGGGTGGTGAAACCTGCCAGCACACAATCCTCCACGGTGTCACGGTGTTACTATGACACCTTACCCACTACAAACTGCAACAACGCGCGCGGACCAACGACCAGAACGCTAGAATAAAGAGCTACGCGCTTCATTGCTGGGGTATAATGGTCCATGGCAAGTCCTGCAAAGCCGACATTGCCGCTAAGATATACTCCGACCCGGAGCACAGGCTTGCTTTCCTGTATACGTGACATGCATTGATAGACGCCAAAATAAATTAAGATTAGCCAATCGCGTCCGGGATCATCCTGGGGACTATCCTGAGGGCTATCCTTGCGCTGGGTGGTTCGCCATTCTGCACTGATGGGCTAAAAATATCACTTGGTTCCAAATGATTTCAACATGACCGACCTCGCCAAAGCACGCAGAACCGCAAACCTCACCCGCCGGGCCCGAACACTCCTCACTGTTCCACTCTACCTGGTCTCTACAGCGACTCCTTCTCTGTGCCTCGGGTAAAGTCCCAGAGCTACGGAGAGTCCCTTGCCTGTCAGCAGGAAAAATAGGCTTAGAGTAGATTAGCGGGTGGCCGCCGTCCGTCGCCGCGTTCAACGCGTGCCTGAGGCGCGCCCATTATCAGCAATTCTGTTTATAGCACCGGATCTGGACGTCAAGAAGGCGCCGGCGGAGAGAGTCGAAATATTTTCCGAGGCTGTCAATGAGGGGCTTTTCGATGTGCGTTGGTTCAAGGAGGTCATAGAAAGAGATAACAATGAGAAGTTGGGACCCGGGGAGGATAGTGGTATCGAGCTTGATTTGGAAATAAATATGTAGGGTTAGATGGAAGTTAGTTTCCTCCATTTTAGCTCTTCTGATTCGGGTCAGCTCCGGTAAGTACACATGCTGAGAATGGACGCCAATCGTCCACCTCCATTTCATATCCAGCTCCACCCCCGGACCATCTCTCTATTCTTCCTGGTTTCTCCTGGGTGCGATAGAAATGGCCAAGCCGCCTCCGCCTTTGATCTTCGCGATCACCAACAGAACTAAGCCCCTCTCATCCTCATATCATCCCTTCTGTTGTCACACATGTGCCTTCAACCCTGTCCCGGGACAGACGATGCACTCATTTTCGCCGCAAAACCGAGATCTAGAAATATATAAAATTAGAACGTGAGCTAGCTATAAATAGATAGATTCCGCAGACCTAAAGTCCAGCAAATACACACGAAGCCCCACCACCAGGCCGAACAGCTTGTGACCAATGATTGTGTTGAATTTGGCTTCGTTTTTACAGGTACGTACATTCCCGAATCAGCCTCATGGTTGCGCGCTGTCGCGCGTCCAAACATCCTTCTCTCATCGCACTTCCTCAATAGACAAAACGGATTAAAACGTCTCCACGACTCACCGCAGATTCACCTACAGGACTCACAACAATCTATGAACGACATTGACTCGCTGTGTGAGCCAAGACCAAGCCAAGATCACAATCTTCTCCGGTCTATAGCCTCTCCGTATGACTCTCTGCATACTCCGACGACGATCATTGTCCGAGAGCGCTCTCTCCGCTTCACGATCAGCGCTCAAAGAAGGACGGCTCACAAGAGCGAACCCACCTCACTTCTTCTTGAAGATCGAGGAGTGGTGGGATACAGGGCTCGAAGCGAGGAAGCGGAAGACGAGAGCGGACATCGTGAGTACCGACAGCTTGTGAAGATAGATCATGTTACGACGTGGGCACATGGCATGTAATACGGTCGTGAGGGCGGACAGAATGCGGTCGTGACGGCAGTGGGCTGTGCCTTCGCGAGAAATCACGACACCCAGCCCTCGTCGGCATTGTGGTTCTTCCGCCGCCGTGCATTGGTCTCTTCGTGCTAAACCACGCCCCAACAATTCTCATCTCATCCATCTCTCTCCTATCCATCGCAATGCGATACCGAAAGTCCTTCGTAGAGCCCACGAATAATAATATCATGCTGTGGGAATTAGAACATGGAAAGTGTGGGGAGATCGCAGTGCTCCCGACGACATTTGGGTTGAAGGATATCATTTCGTTGATGAAAGACCTTGAACTGGCGCTGGTCTACTTATCTCAGCTTACAGGACTGTCCGACTAAGGAACTGCTTGACTCGTAGAAAAGGTTGTGGGTGTAGCAGGGGTCAGATGCTCCTACATAGATAGGACACTTCTGGAACGAGCTCTCGAGGAAGTCTCATGCGAAGGACTGGTCGGATTGAAACGTCCCACAGAAAGTGACTTTGATATGCCACTTTGATTGTGAGATCCGCGAAACAAGGCGAAACCAGCGTTTTTGAGGCTCAGTCCCTGGCTTTAATGACGTCTCTCCGTAGCCCTTTGGTATATATTCGATAGTGCGCGAGAAGCAAGGCATATTGTCGTGGGCGTTGGGCAAGATTCGGTACCTCTGTTGTTGTAAACTTTGGGCAAAATCGGAATAGTAGGCGCATATTAGTAGGCCGGTGCTGTTCTATATACTTGTTTATCCACTGCACTATCTTCTCTATTATTTTATTAGTAAAGAATAGCTTAAAAATGGCTATAGGATTATGCCGATTAAGACTAGAGGGTATAGAGGCTCTCCCTGGAGCATGCCAACTGTTAATACGGAGCGGAGAGAACTCGGGCAGCGGCGCCGGCTTTAGGGGGGTGTTTTTGCTTGTTTTGTACGAGAATCCTTCCTTTTAACATAGTTAATGTTATTTAATGTTCTGGGCATAATTGGGCATCAATTGCTGTCTTTTTAGGTGGGTTCTGGTTGATTATTATGCCTGACAATGTTTGTTTGTATATCTGAGAATGATGTTCGCTTGGCGTTGGACCGTGCGTTGCGCTTCGACGGGTTAAGGGATAGGTTACTGGTGGAAATCTAAAGATAGTTTTTAATTACACTGTTAGAGCCCTTAAGCTAAGAGGTAACTATATTATTAAAATAAGGAAGAAGCTAAGTATAATACTCGGCAATCTCTATCTGGTTCCTCGATGCCCTTGCCCGAGTCGAGGCGCTTCAAGCAGTGGACGTATTTGTCATTAACGATGCCGAAAATGTCGAATTTACGAGGGTGAACAGCCGGTTTAGGTATATAGGCTCGAACAGAGGTCTTGTTGTTGTTGCAGCTATTGTGGCGAGGAGAAATGGGTCGACGTTGGGATCTTCCCAGGTTGGAAACAATGCAGAGAAGGTCACGTGCAGACGTGTCGAATGATTGGCCGATCTTACAACGCGTCTAGAATACGCAGGTACTTCAAACCATGGATCGGCCGCCGCGTCAACTCCACTTCACCACCTCATCAAACATACGTGTCCGGCCACACTTCTTGTACAGCCTATATCCACAGTTGGCAAACCTTCGACTGAGGTCTCGCGCTTCCTAGAATATCCAGCTCCAGAGGTGAGCACTTTACGCGCTCCCCCGCATCAGCCTGACGAGCTTCCTTCTCCCCTACGTACTCACAACCCTTTGTTTACTCAGACTTAACGTGACAAAACCTCCATCCGGGTGCTCGAGGCCCTCTACAGTCGACAACGCGAAATAATTCCACGAGGGAGACGCGACCATGTCATTACCTTCCGACGGTCCCACGTTAGGCAAGCCCTACAACCCCACCGCGGAAGGCGACCAGTTCCTAGCATTCCTAAATCTGGGCAAGAAGACCGAGCAGAAGACAGCAGAGGATAAAGGCTCTGGGTCGGAGATGGAGAAACAGAAGTTGGAAGCGGGGGCCAGCTTTAGCAACCACGTAGGCGCAAACAGCCTTACTAGTCGTAGAGCTAGAGTCCGGTTGCCCCAAAAGGACGGTTTCCTAGAGAAGCGTAAGCGCGAAGATGTACCTGAGCCGACAGAATGCGGGGATGATGAGAAGATGGATGGCAGCTATGAGGCTACGCCTTATTATGATTTGTCCATGTGGGATTTTGAGTTTGCGGGACGGAAACACTACCTCGGCATGATGAGAGACACGAAGAACGAGACGGCTAAGAAGACGGAGATCCCATCTTCTTGTAGCTTCGATCCCATACCTCCTGCCCCATGGCTTGAAGAGCTGGGTCATACTGAAAAGAACGACATCGTGGGAGCCAAAATCGATGCTCCGCCAATATCCCACGGCATGCCTCTGAACAAGGAGACGAATGCCTGCGTGGACAGCGAGCTCTCTGTCCAGGATCACCAAGACAACGACACCACACCGGACGCCGTTGCATCATCTTCACAGGAGGACGTAGAGCAGGGCGAGCAAACCCACGACCATTCCTCCAATCACTCTCAGCCCTCATCGATCGACGAGTCACCTCTCACACCGGAAGAAGAACTTATTATCATCGATCCAGAAGGAGATCTTCGCATCACCATTGGGACAACTGGAAACGAGATCACTGCGCTCTGTTCCTCTCCATGCGTTCGTCGCGCTAGTCCAAAGTGGAAGGCTCTCATCGACGCGTCTCCAAATGAGATTCACCTCGAAGAGGACATTGGCATGGTATTGGATCTCCTGCGCATTGCGCACGCTCAATTTGGTGGACTGCCTGATCACACTGTCTTCAACGAGCTCTTGGTTTTTGCCCACATCTGTCACATTTACGAAGTCACCGAGCTTGTGAGGCCTTGGATGCATAATTGGGTGGATCCTTGGATGAAGAAAGGTCTTGATTCAGGGTTCGAGGGTTGTATCTTCATCGCCTGGATATTTGGGTACGAGGAGACTTTTGAGGCACTCACGCACCGTCTTGCTTCTACGGCTACCAAATCGAAGGTTCGTATTCCGGATATCGTTCTTGAGGTCTTCGATCTAGAACTGCGTACTATCATTGTTGGTAAGTGGATTGGTTTACCTGGTGATTGGCGACATCATTTCATATGCACTGTTATTAATAACGGACACTAACTCCTTCCGTACAGATAACATTCTACGCATCCGCAACCTAGTCATACCTGACTTGATCTCAATTTGCAATTCTCAGGTAACCCAGCTGGCCGACGTGAGGAGCCGCAAATCCTGCTTGGTATCCGATAAGTGCCTAACGGAGGAGGAGTACCACTCAGAGCTGTGTGACTGCATTGCTCTCGGATCACTCCAGCGCAGTCTCAACTCGATTGGAATCTGGCCTCCATACCCTTGCCCGGATACTTCCAGTTTCACTATTCAGAGCCTGCAGGCCCAGCTCGATGACTTTTCTGTCCTCTCCTATCCTGACCATGAAGAGTACCACAAGTTCTGCTACGCGAATGAGGATTTCCACCATGCTCTGCGCGTCGAGCGCAAACAGGTATCGGCACTGCAAGTCGCTCACAAGGAGCACTTCGAATCGTTCAGCCCTATGGTTGATCCTAGTGGCTGGAAGAACAAGGCTGTCGAAAAACTGGGGCTCTTGGAGCGTGAGTCCCGCACTCACGAATCGGACAGCGAGTCGGACGAGGCTTTCCATGATCCTGAGCTCAAGCCGGAGGATGACGACCCAGAGAACGGTGCGGATGAGGGGAGCTTCATAGACCCAGAGACCGAGGAGGAGTATGATGAAGATGAGGATGAGGACTATGAGGAGTCTGACGAGGACTCTGACTCCGAGCCCGATGAGGAATACTTGGATTCTGGGGAGGAGAGCGACTACACTTCCGATGTTGAGGAAGAGGAGTCCGTGGAAGAGCGGTTCAAGGCCTGGATGCCTTATGTCCCAAAAAACGAGTCAGTCGAAGAGCAGTCTAAGACATCGAGGTCTAGATCCGAAGTGCTAGGATCCGTGGAGGAAGACAGCACTGTCGGGTCTTCTCCTCTGTCAGAGTCTACATCGTACTTCTGATCGATCGCGAGATTGCTAAGCTTTCTGTAGGTTGGTCTAACAAACCGAGACTGTTGTGTTCTTGGGTTATGGTACAAAGTAAATTATGGGCTTCAGACTTTGTGGTACATAGGGCGCCGAGACAACGGAATGGGAGTACCGTTGGGCGGCGATGTTCACTTTTATGGATAGGTCAGAGGCGTCTTGGACGGTATACCATGCTTTCTGTTCATTCTCCGTGTTCCTTCGGGATTGTATGTGGGAAGCAACACTTGTGCCAGAGCCTACTTCGTGCGGACTTGCTCGGTAGTCTCTTGAATCCAAATCAAACATGGAAATAACTCTAAACATGCTTCTTTGCTTCTGGCGTCTATTCTCCATCATGAACGCGATCACTTTCAGCAATTCTATTCCCTTGTGCAGAGTGTGCTTGTGATCTCTTCGATTCCTTGCCGCGGGCAGCTCTTCGGTCTTCGCGGGTGAATTTTCCGGATATTACTCTATTGGGCAAGCCTTGGCATGGCGAGGAAAAGTGTTGAACACAGAGTGCGAAGACTTTTGCAAATTTTGTCAGTGCGCTCATCTTGGTAAGCCCCGGGTTCGGCGCACGGCCAGCTTCAGAGCATCATAGCTGCAGAGCATCGCAGCTGCGCAACGAACTGTCGCAGCAACATCCCCACACCGACGACAACATGCAGTCTCCAGAGAACCAGATCCAGGCGACCCTCATCAACTGTGCTCGGAGCTACGAAGTGGAAGACGTGGACTTTAGGTTCGCTCCATTTCAAGAATATGAGCCACTCCCAATCACCGGTACACCAGTTGAAGAGGGACATGGCGAAAATACTAGCGATCCCTCTGTCCACCAAACCGTCATGGAAATAGAGGGCTCTGGCTCTTTAGAACAGCCTAGCGAGAATATGGCTCTGATCAATGTCTCCGAAAAGAACAGAGAAGAAACCGGCAACGCAGAGGAATCCCCTCTTCTCAGCAATAATCGCAAACGTGGCCGTGCCATGTCAGAACCCATCAACAGCGGTGCTGAGGCGCCTCGTCCAACCTTGCGTAGGAGACTGGATTCCCACGCCAACCCGTTGCGGATCCCCGAATTCAGCGCCGTCCGCAGGACAGCCTTGAAGCGCGACCTGTCCAAACGCAAAGACCTTGAATGGGCTAAGAAGGAGGTTCGCACCAACTTGAAGCGTATCCAGGCCGAGAAAGTCATTCGCGAGGCCGAGAAAGAGATTCGCGAGGCGAAAAAAGGTCACCCTTGAAGAGGCCGTCAAGGTAGCCGAAGCGGAGAAAGCCATCCGGGAGCTGGCGTTGGACGAGATCGACCAGGAACAGATTCTGGCCGATTACGATGAGAGAGAGGACCGTGGAATGGTGCTGGAGTGAGAGACTTCAGATGGGGACAGCTGAGGTGCGGCTTCATGAAGGTTCTCCAACAGTTTTCCTTTTGTTCCTTGACAGCATGATAGATCATCATGGACGGCGTATGGGTGAGTAAAACTGGTGTTTGGCCGAGAGTGGTGATTCTAGCCGTATTCTAGCATCCATGCTTGAGAAAGCGAGTGAGCGATTATGGAAGGATTAAGATAATGGATACAGAGTTGGGGATTTGTTTTCTTGTGCGAAGTGTAGCAGGAGACTTCGATACCCCCCATTGTAACTATAGCGGTAAAGCAATTCAAGATGGTAAAGTCTTGGTATCAGTTGCTGAGGAGAGATGTCATGGGAATTCTTGCCGCCTACTGCTCAAACATGAGGTCGTTTATACTTACACGGCATAAAGGAAAATAGGTCGGCACATCTTTGACGCCCGAGCTCCAACATAAACATCCTCCTTACCTAACCACTTACCAGCCTATCCAGCCTCGTTCCAGGAATTAACTAACGTTGTGGAGTAGACGAAACTCTCCGCCAAGCGTTTCTAGGTCTCTAGTACGATAGCCAACAAATGACTACTTAGAAACGTGAACAATAGACTTTACGAAGTTTGAAAAGCCCTATGGACAAAGTTCGCAGTGTTCTTCAGGAGCTGTGGGCAGAGAAAGATGGTTTCGGGGAACCGAAGAGCACACTTGGAGGAATTCTTGGTGGGGAAAGGATATGTCTGAACTGGAGAGGAGAACATGCAAGTTGGCGCTATAGGACGTCGAATACCAACAAATGCTTTACGATCGCGAAGATTGAAAAGGTTGGGGAGGTTCTGCAATCACAAGGCAGAGGGGCAACAAATTCAGAACTTACCGGATAGAAGATTGCCACTCGACTCGTTCGTCTTCTAGCGGAGTTCATTATTTCATTCTTACGCATCTCACGATAGTTTTGCGCTCGTTGATGCCCCACAGGACTGTGTCCTAGGGTAACTGCTACTCGATGCAGTGTCACAATGCACGCGACGATATCTAAATTAAACGGGCATTGTTCTGTTCGAAAACTTCACATACTCGCTGGACCAGCTCTGATTCGACGGCGTCATCTCCACATGGCTGGCTTCCTCGCTCTTCTCTTCGGACAATTGGCAGCCAACTCATGGGTGGCATTCCGTGCGCTAGGTATCACGGATTAAAGGGCCTACCAACAGATTAGGGCTTTCGGGGACGGCAAGTTTGACGATGAGTCGTGATTCCCGAGAGGCTATCCCCGCCGTAACAGCGGTAGAAATGGTCGGTAGAGTACGTCGGGACACAGAAATAATTGGCTAGTGGGTTGGTGGGTGTGGGGGACGTGGTATGGAACGTTTGGTTGAAAGATGGAGCGAAAGGGTGGAGGACACGCCTCGTGAGCGGGGATGTCTGCAAGCTCAAAGAGGAAAGTCTTGGTGCGAACGAAAATCGTGGAGCACCGAGTGGGACCGAAACGCACTTTTTATCAGTGCGCTACCGAGCCGGGAAAGGGAAACTCTTGGCGCGAATGCAACCGGGAGTGGAGAGCGCAGAACACACATTCTTGAGATTGGAGACGGGCAGCACGTGACCCCTACAGCTGTCCTTAGCATCCGGAACTGCCCTTTATTGAATAACTACTGCACATGTTAGACACCGAGCACTGTTTCTTCCCGTCTTTTCTACAAGGGAAAGCATCAATGTGCCAGCCCAAAAGCTGCAGAGTTGATGTTGTGGGCAGAAGATATATCCATCTCCTAAACGGTAAGACTTGGCGCGAAACGTAAAGTGTCGAGCGCAGACACAGAAGCTCCCTCCTTTCTGTCCGTGCGTCGCTCGAACGCACGGGCACTTTCTGGGTAAATCCTCACTCTGCTCTCGACACTTTCCAAGTTTGCGTTCACGCCAAGACTTTCCTAATCAAGTCGGCAACCCTACCTCCCCCCTGCCGTCTTTCCATCGCGTTTCGCCTCTTTTCTTCTCTCGCTACTGCATATGCATACTATCAAAGATAGTCGTAGTAGAGAAAGGTGGGCCGAAGAAATAGTAAAGCACGCACAACGGGCGACCAGCTAATCGAGGAAACGAATAGAAGGCGCCACCGGCTCGTGCACGCGACAGGCTCGTGCACGCATCACCAAAAATCACGTACAATACACAATGAAGCTTTTCAACACAACACAACTTTCTATACAAGCCTACAAGCTCGGAGGTGAGGTAACCAAACCCGCTCTTTCACTCTATCACAACCTCATAGTCGTCAAGTGCCTTGGGGCGTCTCCGTGCACGTGTAGCTCGGCCCGAAGGCTCCGGTGCATCATCATCCTCCTCATCATCTATCACCACAAAATCTCGCTTTTTTGATGCTGTAGATGTAGCTGTGAATAGCTTCCTTACTTGGCTCTCTCCTAGCAGCTGCCTCTCTGCCTGTTTTGTAGCCCTGGCTGCCTCATCAGCTTGTTCCTTTGCCTTCTTCGCATCACGTGCCATTTTCTCACGTATTTCCTTCTCTTGACGACGTTTAGATGCCTTCTGCCGCTTCTCTACCTCTTGTTCCTTTTTCTGTATAGCCTTTTAAAGCTTTGCATCCTGCTTAGCATTTAGAATTTGTTGCTTCTCCTCTTCTTCCTTCCTCCTAAGATCACGTGCTTGCTGTACCTTATTGGGGCTATACACAATTGCAAATCCATCTTCTGCACGTGCAAGAGCCTTGAAAAGAGGCTGTTGCCTCTGCCTCTTTTTCTTCTCCTCCGTAAAGCCCTTATAGAGGTTCTTATTTTATATTTCTATAAGCTTAAGCTGTGCCTCTGTCACGACGACGATGTATCAGACATGAACGCGAGATGAACCAGCATTAGATTCAATTGATGATAGCTACGTACAGCTGTGTGATGAATCAAGAGAATTGGTGAAGAGCAGAAGCAGGGGCAGAGGCAGGTCTATGTACAGGACGGGCCGCGAGCTAGGGCCAGCAGGGCTAGGGGCAAGCTACGCCACGGCGTAGCGCGTGTAACGGGCAATACCGTTACAGCCTCTATTTTATGCACCTAGCGTATAAATACACGGTTATTTTAGCTTAGTACCTTTTTTAGAATCCTTTCTATAGCTTAGTAGAATATTTCTGCGCTAAATTTAGGTATAGGAGCTTCTACCTTAGTATTATTATTATACCTTCTTCTAATCCGCTTTAAAACCTTTTCCGGCTTAAATAGGTGTATACTAGTCTTCTTAAAGCCTAAGGCTATATTCTCTAGTATTATTATAAGCTTTTATGCTGCCTAAAATGCCTAGAAGAAGTTTCTCTTTATAAATCTTATATAGCCCTTATTTTATAGCTAGAACTTCACCAATTTATTATTATATTATATAGCTAGAGAAGCGAAAAAAGAGACGTCTAATAGCTATAGCTAATGCGTCGAATAAGGTGGAAATATAAGCAGGAGGATTCTATTCTTAATATAGAAGTTAATAAAGCGTGATATTATATAAGATCCGTGGCTATTAATAATAAGCAGCCGCCAATTTCTTCTTTACCTTGCCTTAGCCTTTATTTCTCTTTAGAATATAGTTATAAGCCAGGCATAGCCTATATTATATAAGGTCTATCTATTTAGTAAAGATCTAAAGAAATAGCTATATTTTTTAGGGTTAAAATCCTGTAGCCAGGTGTTTTATATATTACCTAAAACGGCTTAGTATATAAGAGTAGAAGAGAGCTTACTTCCGTCGGCGTAAATAGCTGCTAGCACTGTAATCTACTTTCTATTTCCATTCTATATAATATTAGCAAGCTTAATCTTATCCTTAGCAAAGATCCTATACCATTAAAGTAAACCTAATAGAAAAACACGATGCAGTCGTCCTAATAAGCCGTTGGAAATCGAAGCTAAAGGGAGTCCCAATAGGCTCCTTAAGGCACTTAGAGCAATCGTACGCAATTATAAAGCCCTCCGGGCAGTAGTAGTGGTGTTGCAGTAGGTTAAATCTTTCCCGCGACCCCTAACCTTAGATTGCACTCGCAACAACAATAATAACAACACCTACAACAACAATACAACTAAAAGCCCCTTCTCGACACGTACGGAAGTGTTGTAAGCGCACTTAACGAAGTACAACAAATACAAAGCGCCCTACGGAGTTAGCCCCTTAATGCTATTAGCATGGATTTCCTCCAGGCTATAGTCGCGTGCATTAACAACGCGTTCTTCGGACTTACGGATGCTAAGGAAGGACTCCACCGTATACAGAGAACTATAGACGAACGGAAGGATGCGCTATAGAAGGAACTAATAAAGGAGATGAAGGATATAAGGAAGAGTATTAGCGAGCTGAAAGCTTAAGGAAACAAGGCATACGCAGCTGCAGCAGCGAGGGCCCTGATGGTAATATAAATCGGGCAAGCTATACAAATTGGACAGGACGCAAGAATCGGACAGGATGTAATAAACAACCTCTATAAAATCAACATCTATATTAAAAACAACGCCCAGTAAGCGGCTAATGCGATATATATAAACAACTATATTATAAAAAAGCTATAAGCGGCGGGAGAGCCGGAAACTATAAAGATTAGCGGTATTAGGAAGCTACAAAGTGGTGATATTAAGGCAATTATCGCGGATAAGCTATTAAAAAACGCCCTTTTAAAGAAGAAGGATTAGGTTCTTATTCTAGGCTCTTCCGCTACTATACGCACGCCTACGGTGCTTATTAAAGTACACAGCGTGCCTAAGAAGATAGACCTCAACAACCTAAGTCTATAGAAGGACGTAATAGAAAATAATGCAACCTATAACCTAGGACTTATAATTAATAAGATTATATAGAAGAATAAGGCAGCTATTACCGCAGCGCGGGCAAACCTAGTATAGCGTGTAAGCTTGGCTATTATAGGCGTATAAACAGAAGCAATAGCGAATAATACTATTAATAATAGTATTGCTTAGGAAGGCTATATACTTAACGCCTTAAGGTATAAGGCAGGATTTACAGCTACGCAGTGCTTTAACTGCCAGGGCTACGGGCACGTTGCAAGATACTGCAAAAAGAATGTTAAATGCGCAGTATGCGCAGGCGAGCATAACATAAGAGTGTGCCCGGATAAGACTATTAAGAAATGCGCAAACTATAACAAAAACCACCTGTTATACAGTGCCGAATATACTATTCGAAAGAGGGCCTAGTAAAGGGCCTTTAATAAGAAATAGACAATACTATACTAATATACCGCAGAGCGCAATAAACTATATATATTCCAAGCGCAGTTATATAATAAATAATAGTATATAAGGAAGATAGCTCTAAAAAAGAGGGTGTAATATATAGAGGAGTTCGAGATATAAGTAGAGGAGCCCTCCTTTATAAACTTTATAGTATCTATAGCTTCTACTATACCTGCACCCTTAAAAAGACCCGGACCTAGGCGGCTAAAAAAGGTGCTTACAGCGGATAAGAACCAGCCCGCTATTAATAAGGCATTTAGAATCGGAAGTAGAACGCAGCCCGCCTAATTTACGCGACCTAACCGATTAGCTATACTGCCGGAAGTATTATTACAGCTAGCTATATAAACTATATACAGCGGAGGCGATTAGCTAATATTAAGCAGAGAGGTTTAAATACTATTATTATAAAATAACCTAGCTAACTAATAGATCTATACTAAGTAAAGAACCTAGGTAGATAATAGGTAAGCTAAGAAATAATAAGAGGACACTAAGATAAGCTAATATTAGAACAACCGAATAACCTTACTATTATATAGTATAACATTTATAAGAACTTAATAACCTAGAAAAAGTTCCTTAAAAAGGCGGAGAACGCTAGCCCGCAACCTATAGTACTAGCTATATAAAAACTGTAGAAAAACCTATATAGGCAGGGGCAGGGGTATATAGTATATACAACGCATATAATAAAGTTATACTATTTACTGCACGTAGGAGAGGAATATATAAAAGCCTGTATATATATTAATAAATAACTAGATATTAATAAGTGGTTAGTTATATACTATTTACTAGATTTTAACACCCTTTTTTTTTATATAGAGGGAGAGAGGATCTATATTTATAATATTTATAACCTAAACCTTAACAGTATTATATAGGAACTACTTCTACTGCTAAATAATACTAAAGCAGAATATATTTTTATTAGAAATATAAACCTATACTATCCGCTATAGGAAGAAGTTTAAGTTATATAAATTAAGGAGTAAGTAGAGGAGCTCCTCCGTATTACGCGCGAAGCAGGTATAAACCTAGCCACGGAGAAAGGGCTAAAAATATAGGTAAGAGGAATATTATAGTCTATAATTAACCTTATATTTATAATAGGGTGGCTAATAGAATAAATAATTTCCTCTATAGTATAAAAGGAATAGAACTGCAACTCTAATTACCGGCCTATATATACGGAGTTTAATATCTTACTACTAAAGGCAGCCGAACCCCCGTAGTATAGGCTATAGAAGAATATAGCATAGAAAGAAGTATAAAAGAACTTAGTAATATAGCTAGATAAGCTAGAAACTTAGAATAACTTGCAGGAGATAGAGAAAGATTTTAATATATTTGCACACCGCCTATATAAGTGTATATAAGCTATAATAGACAAAACTATACTACTTATAAAGCTATTAAAATAAGTATTACCTGTATAGTTAATAGAGTATACTAAGAAAGTATAGGAAATAAGGCAGGCCTATAGAACCTAGCGCTTATTAAGAATAGTAAAGGACTGGATTTTATACAGAGTATAGTATAATAGAAAGAAAAGGGCTATACGTAAAAAAAGTATAAAAGTATAGCGCCGCGCAGTAGATAAGATTATATTAGATCCGAAAGGCGTATAGAAGCTAGCTAAATAGGGTAGAACTATTAGAAAGGAACTATAGCCACCGCTTTAATTTCCCCCTTTTTTACAGCCTAATAACGTAATACTTTATATAGATAATAAAACTAAGGCCTAAATACTTATAGAACAGTTCTTCCTACCTTTTATAAAGGCAGACCTCTCTAATATTAAAGAATACTAATACCTAGAGCTGTATAAGTCCTTATAAAATATTATAGTAGAAGATATCCTCTCCGCGCTAATAGAAATAGCCCCGGATAAAGCCCTAGGTATTATAAAGATAACTAACAGAATCCTTAAAAAATGCGAAACGCAGCTAGCACTAACGCTGGCTAGGTTTTTTACCAGGTGCGTGTATATAGGGCACCACCTATAGCTATATAAAAAATTAATTACTATAGTGCTACGCAAGCCTTAGAAAGCGTTCTATAATATAGCAAAGTTATATAGGCTAATTACGCTGCTAGAAATAGTAGGTAAGCTGCTTAAATATATTATAGCACGAAAACTATCTAAAATAGCAGAGGAGAAAGGTATACTCCTACTAAGCTAAATAGGTATAAGGCCCGAATAATCTATATAGACAGTACTAAAACTTCTTACGGAACAAATATAAACTATATAGAAGGGCAACTTTTACCTTATTACTTTCCTTTTTAGCCTAGATATTTTAAAGGCCTTTAATAAAGTATTTTATAAGAGAATAATATATAACCTATAGGTCCAACGTGTACTAAAATAGATAGTCTAATTTATAGAATTATTCCTATAGGACTAAACTATAAAACTCTCTATTAGAAGATATATTACTAAAACTATCCCGGTTAATACAGGCATACTATAAGGATTTTTACTCTTGCTAATCCTCTTCTTATTCTTTGTAAGCACGCTCTTGCCGGCACTATAAAAAGGCAATATAATAGCCTATAGGTTTATAGACAACACTAATATCCTTATATTTAGCAAAAGCACGGAAGAGAACTGCAGGGTAATTAAAAGTGCGCATATACGGTGTATAGAGTGGGCGAAAAAGCATAGCGTAGTATTCGCCCCGGATAAGTATTACCTTATATACTTTATAAGGTGCTATTTAAATATAGTAAATATAAAGGCTATAGTAAACATCCGGGGCTTTATAGAGGGCCTAATTATAGAGCTCTATATGCTTAAAGTCTAGGTAGACTTTAAACTTAAATAGGGCCCGTATATATATATTATAAAGGAAAAGGCTATAGTATAAATAGGAGCCCTTATACGGCTAATAGTATTAATATAGGGCGTAAGCTTCTAAAAAGCATAGTATATATACTTAGCAGTTATTAGGCCGGTCCTTATATATAGGTGTACTACCTGGTTTCCAACGCCAGGTATAAAGGAATAAATTAGCAAAGCGAAGATTAAATAACTTAAAACGGCCTAGAACTACTGCCTTTATACTATTGCAGGGGTGTATAAGATAACAGATATTAAGACGCTTAAATATAAAACCTCTTACCCCCCCCTAAGGCTTAAGCTAGAGGAACTTGCGGTGGCGTACGCGGACCGCACGCGCGCGGGCCAGGCTAAAGAGCATATTAAGACCACGTGCCGCACTATTAGAAACACTATTAGGAGACACTATAAGCCTAGGAAAACGCCTAAATATAAGCCGAGCCGGCATAATATACTAAAGAGGCTCGCGGTTAAGGCTATAGCACTAGCCCTGAGGTATAAAGGGTAGTTAGATAACTTATATAAGCTTTTAAGATAAGGAGCAATATAGGAAGTATATAAGGAAAGGTGGAGGGATAAATAGAAGGCCTACAGGAAGAAACGAAGGGGCCCCCCTACGCCGGCCCTTAACACGAAATAGAATAAGAATTAGGCAACTAAACACTATAAGCTTATAAAAGCAGAAAGCTTGATTATTACGCTCCTACAAACGGAATATATAGGGCTTAACGTATACCTGCACTGTATAAGGGTGCCCAATCACTCTTCGCCCGTGTGCCCAATCACCCTTCGCCCGTGTGCCCAATCACCCTTCGCCCGTGTGCCCCTGCGGGCATATACTACAGTCTCTAAAGCACGTAGTAATGCACTGCAAATAACACCGCAACGGCAGAGGCGATATGTTTTTTAAGGCTAGAATAAGAACGTATATGCAGCTGTACAAAAACTACAAGGGAAATAAGGCTGTTTCGCAATGGTTCCTGCACCAGACAGACCTCCTACCCTACCTCTCTATAGCTAGAGAGATGGCAACGGAAAAGCTGGCTATACAGCCAGCCGACTCGTATAGCCACGCCC